AGATTAGCGAAATCCAGATGTGGCACAAATTATTTTTGCATTAAATTCTATAATAGACTTCCATCTGAGATTTGATCACTAAATTCAGACTGTTTTAAGGCCAGAATTAGAAAATATCTTAAGAGAAAAGCGTTTTACAATTTTGATGAGTTCCTTGCTGACCAGTTTTTAGATATTTAAAGTATGTTCCTAATATTCACTTTTTTATGTTGTTTACGTTATATTTATCTGAATGTGTTTTTTTTAGCTGTAGTGTAGTATTGCTTATATGTTGTATCTTTCGTGTTTTTCTTTCTTTGTCTTGTGTAAACATTTTAATGTATAGACACCAATAAATGATTTGATTTGATTTTGATATAGTACTTTTCCGATTTTATTAAAAATAGGAAGTCAAATTTTGTGTTGTCATGTGCATACCGTCAAGAAGGGTTTTAGTTATTTTTTTTTGGAATTTTCTTAAAAACGGTGAGTCCTACCGAAAATATACAAAAACTCCTCTTCTATTCAATTTACCCTACCTTTTCAGACATTAATGTCCTCTCCTGAATTATCTTAATTATCATCATAATCAAATTATGTATTATTAGGTAATACTCTGCACCAAATCTGAATTCATTTGGTCAACCCCTTAGGAAGATATAAAAGAAAACAATTTTTAAGGAAAACTTTGGCACCCTGAATTTATCTCATTTATCATAACCAAGTTCAAATCAAATATTAGGTAATGCCTTATACCAAATTGCTTTGGTCAAACAATTTGGAAGATATAAACTAAAATAGTTTTTTTTTCACAAAAGCTTTAACACTGTATTTCGGACATTAGATGAATATTTAAAAATTGTTTTGGAATAAATAGTCTTTACTTTTAAAAATTTTTGCTCTTCCTTTAACACCCTTTACAAAATTAGATACAAGTTGGTGTTGGAAAGTGTGAATCATTGTTTGATTTTATGGTTTTGATATAATCAACTGAAACGTCATATAACATTGATGTAATATAAATAAGGCATCCACGATACAACCGCAGTATTTTCGTAGTATCACTATGTGTGCTTGCTGATCATATCTAAGTAATAGGATAATGTACCTTATAATCTAAATCATCCTGTTGAAGCGCAAAATGTTCCAACGTGTCGTCCCCCTCGACATCATCATAAGAATATCCTCTTGTTGAAAAGTCAGTTCCACCAATGGGAGCCCTGCACAGACTATACTCGATACCGCTCCTACCAAAATAGCTTTCGATTAAATTTTTTTGAGCCTCTTCTGGTAGTAGCTTTATGTTGATACCTGTAGAGTCTGAGAAAGCCCCACCAAATCCGATAATACTTTGATGCTTCGTATCTTGATCGACAGTGATGGAGCTTTCTTCTCCATCAGTATTTTCGACGAAAGATCCAGTGGTGCTGTAGAACCCTAATTTGGCCTTGCTGGTAGAATACAATTGATATTTTCCAGTAGATACATCCAACTCTGGAACAGTGTCACAGTATTTTGCGTTGCAGACGCACAAACTTCCCTCGTCTGTATCTCTAATGTTACAGCTTTGACTGAGAACTGATGTTACAAGTATGGACAGTATTAACAGTGAAACAGCCATTTTCGTTACTGACTGGTATGTTCCACAAGTATACATTGGCAAAGCCGTATAGACACTATTTTAATACATTTTCTTTCCAGTTTTAAATGTAAATTATTTTGTTTTATCGATAATAATCAGACACTTAATGACGCAAATTAATTACGATTACCGATTATCCAATTGTTATAATCAAGAGCCACTACAAAGAGATCACAAGTACTATTTATTTTTGCATAGGAATGTTATTCCGGAAATTCTCCTTGAGAATAGAATTTATTACACATACTGATAAACAAATACCAAAACTTTTAAAAGAAATGGCATTTTGAAGCTTTTAATTTTACTCTTTTTAAAAAATGATTTTTGTTATTACCTCTTGTATCTGTTTATTCTGGTTGAAAGAAGTACTCTACAGGGTGTCTCATAATTAGCTGCCAACCCTGAACAGGCCGATTCTATGATCAAAACTAAGTAAAAAAGTTCATATGAACNCAATTAAATAAAAAGAATAAAACAAATACAATTTTATTCTAGACTTTTAACAACTGCATAACCCGACAGCTAGATAGCGAGTGTATCCCGTTTCCTTGGTACTCGACGTCTTTCATCGGCCGTGGTGATCTCACTCATGCCAGTAACATCAACAAACAAACGATAACCGCCGTCCCATTGAATGCTGGCATCCAGTTTCTAACAAGCTTTAGGAAAATTAAAACCAAAACATCTGAAACTAGTATTTCAAATAAAAAAATATACAGAAATATGCTTTGAAAATAAAAAATTTCGATATTTTCTTAATAAATTCTTAATTATATAAAAATGTTTCTTGCATTTCTTATTCACTTCGAAATCTTCTAAATAAAAAATTGTTATATGCCTTTAATTAGCAGGCAAAAGGTTGTTGAAAAAATTATTTATTTTACCTTTTGTTTTCAATACAAAAAATATTTAAATAACTATTTTAATAATACAAATGATATAATTCAATTTTTTATATGTAAAACAAGTACATACCTACACAATAAGTAGACTTATAATCCCTTGTAGAAAAACTATCTATTAACTATTAACTTGAGGGTTGCTTTCGGTGAGCAGCAAAATGAAACTCTCTCAACGGTAAAATAAAGTATTTTTTATTGAAAACAAAGTGCAGTGAAAAGAAATGTTGTCGGGACGAGGGTTCGTTGGAGTCTCTTGTAGGTATATGAATCTAGTCCCTGGCGCCAATATGCCGTGGCCCTCTTCCGGGAACCATAGTGTCTGGCATTACAGAATCGTCTGTTCTTTGTTGCTTACAACTGTAAGACCGATCCGGCGTCAGATTGGCGCTCTTAACGTGATTCTTAAAATAGGTCACATGCAGACATGTGTACCCACACAACCCACAACCCCCTGCCAGTATGGATGCCACCATGGAACCCTTCTACCAGACCTAGTGGTAATTCCCTTGGGTGTGGTTGGCATCAATTTTAATGGGACAAAGTTGATGGATCTGGAAGGCTATTGTCCTTATCCCTGGTACCTGTAGCGTCATTCAGAAAATACGTAGATTTTATCCTGTCTATGGACACTAACTTCGTGACCACACACTAGCAACCCTCAAAGTGGTGACTCCAACATGATACTTAAAATGGGTCACATGCAGACATGTGTACCCACAAACTCGAACTCTATGAAAGTTGTAGAACACTTTTTTGATTTTAAAGTTGCACTTACAATTCTTACATGTTGAATTTTGGAAATATCAGCCAAACTTATACTTTTACTCGGTATATTTTTATATATGACATGGAATGCCCCATGTCAAATTACTGAGGTCGTGAACCGACCATTTCGAAATTTTCCTGATTTTTTTGGTATTGTTTAGTACCCATTTAGCTTTCATGAATTTTTTCAAATTTTTATTTCAATCCTTTAAAAATTTATGAGCAGTTGAATATTTTGGGAAAAAATTTTTTCAAACACCTGTAACTTTACAAAAACTAAAGATATCATAAATTTATTACTTTTTATTTTATTCCTTCAATTTCTAGAAAACTTGACGGATTTTATTTTCTGTATTATTATTAAACATACCCGCAAGTGATGCAAACGCCACAATCTTTAAAGAAAAAATTTGATGCAAGGGTCTACGGAGATGCTGGTAACTCTTTTCAGGACTATGATATCAAGTGGATTTTTGGTACCTGTAAAGGGCATAGGTAACACTATTTTATGGTATACCAACAAATGAAAACATTTAATACTATACTCCACGGTCGAAATTATAGAGAGTGACTCAGACATAATATAAAAACACTATTACCATACTGTGTATAAAATATAAAATGATTTTTATACGGTTCAATATTATTTATCTTTACACATCGATAGAATCTATAATCGTCTATAGACCGAGTTACACTGAACGTCGATCTATATTCTATGTCTTTTGCACTTGGTAGGGAATAGGCTTTTTTAGTTGGGTGAAAACGGACTTGATTTACGAGTCCTGAGAAACATCATAGCATAAGCGTAGACGAGGTGTCTAATTCCATGGCTATAATAAATTTATAAATTTAAAAAACACAACTGGGACGTTTTAAAATGCTGTAATAATTAAAATGGATCAAAGTGCCGGTTATAGCAAACCGTAAAAAATATTAGATGTTATGTTTTATTATCTTTTTTTAATATTTTCTATATCTTGTAGCCTTTTACGCAGACACGCCAATGGATTTTATTTTCGTTCCCGGCACGCTTCATCCCCCTTACTAGTCCAAAAGCTAGCGATGAGTCACTCTATAATTTCGACCGCGGAGTATAGGTGGTTCATTTTTGCTGTTACAAACAGTTATAACTTTGTTAACTTAAATAGAACACCCTGTATTTTTTTACTCTGTCGTATGCAGAATGAAATTTTCTTTCAGACCATATCAGCATTGTTAGGGTTGCCAGTACTATTTTTAGATATTTTACTGTTATCTAATTGGCCATGACCAGAAACGCTTCAAAATTAAAATAACTTGACATTTCTCAAGTTAGTTGTCAAATTATTGTTGTCTGTACAGTTTTTGACGAAAATTTAAATAAAAATGGGGATGGTTTAAATTATACTAATGACGATTATTTTAATTAGTTTTTTATTTATCGACAATGTGACAAAGTAATTTCAAGAAATGTAGAGAATTTGTTTCTTTGAACATATGATAACAGATCTGATACGAGAAAAACTGTCCCAAAAATAGAAAATTGTAAATATTTCTAAAAGTAGTAGGCAACCCTAACACTTATGACTTGAAAGGAAATTTCGATTTGCATACGAGTAAAAAAATACAGGGTGTTTGTTCCACTTAAGGGGGTCCTCTAGTTTCTCGGTGTTTTTTTACGGCTTTTTCAAAAATTTTTTACAGGCAAACCATAGAAATAATAAAGCTCATTGTTTTTACATTATCTTTATTTACATTTAAATAAGCTTTACAAATTTTTTGAGGACAAAATATATAATAGAATCAAAGTTATAGTGGCCGATAGGAAGACATCAAGTGAAGGAGGTGCTTGACGGTGACCAAGATTGCGGCTGTTTTGCTTAGCTGAAATCAAAAAACCAAACGGCATTTTAATCTTCATATTTAAGACTAGCGATTGAACTAGAATGAATTCTAAATTACAAAAATTAATTTTTTTATACACTTTTGAAAATTAAATTCTATTTTTTACTAATTTTTTCTTAAGTTTCTCGCTCGTAGAAAAAAACTATCGAAGCAATCATGATAATCCTAGTTCAATCGCTGGCTTATAACGTATTAAAGATGTTGTATAAATTTGAACAAGATCGGTGCAGTAGTTTCTGAAATATCGTGGTCACCGTTTTGAAAAATTGTGTTTCCAGAAAAACGCGTTTCAAAATTCGCGCATGTGATTTATAATAAAAGTTTCATCTCACCTCAATCTGCTATGCCTGGACCATACAGTAGGCCTTCCTCTTCTTCTTGGAAGTCCCGCAGAGCTGCTCCATCTTCCCTTTTCGCGATTCAGTTAGATTTAGGGATATCAATATAATGGTCAGCGGTCAGCGCCGCTCGGCTTTGTGCGGTGCAGTGTTGCGCGCGCTCCGTATACCTGCTCCATTCCAGGGCCGTAACTTGTTAACCACTTCGAATATCGAAAAATCCTTTGGCACACATTTTCTACACGTTGTAAATGTGATTTATGAAAAAAAAAATTTCGATTTTTTCGACCCGAGAAACTAGAGGACACCCTTAAGTTAACAAAGTTATAGCTGCTTGAATTTATTAAAATGTAATGGCAAAAACTAAACACCTAGTATACCCTTTACAGGTACCAAAAATCCACTTGATATCACGCTATTGAAGAGTTACTAGCACCTCCACGAATCATTGCATATCAAATTTTTTCTTTAAAAATTAATATTTCAAAATCTATAACCCCTAGGTATAGTGAATATTTAATAAAGTGACACTCAAATTTCAAATAGAATCCGAAAATGCAATAATACAGACTGTTACAAATTCGCTTCTCACTACAGGGATCTCGGAAATGATAAGATACGAAGTAGCTTAAATGGGGGCAAGTTGCATAATCAGGAAACGAATATTATGCTTCCAAAAAATCAACCAACATAATTAGTTTTCGAGGTATTTGAAAAAAAAAACAAAATAGTGGAAATCCGTTCTTGTTTCATTTGAGCCTTGTTTGAAGTGATATTGAAAAAAGAACACTTTCTCATGGCAACTTTTTGCCCTCTATCGAATGGTTTATAAGTAACGTTTGGTCTCTCCAGAACCATTATCAACTTCATTTTTTTAAATACGTCCCCGGAAATTTTACCAAATTTTTTGAGTCTTCATGACCCCCAATACTGTACTGCCTCTGCTCGAACCAGATTCAGAGCTTTTGTCTCGAAAAATTCATCTTCAATGTATTCGTTCCAATCACAGGAAGATAAATTTGCAACGAATACATTGAATATGAATTTTTCAAGACAAAAAGTCTGAATCTGGTTCAGGCAGTACAGTATTGGGGGTCAAAAAATGTGATAAAATTTCTAGGGTTGTATTTAAAAAAATGAAGTTGATGATGGTACTGAAAAGACGAGAAACATTACATATAAAAATTGGTTATGCCATTCGAGAAGGTAGAAAGTTGCAATGAGAAAGTGTTCTTTATTCAATATCACCTAAAACAAGGCTGAAATGAAACAAAAACGGATTTCCAAAATTTCGGTTTTTTTCAAATATTTCGAAAACTAATCATGTTAACCTTCATTTTTTAGAAGCATAATGTTGTTCCCCAGATTACACAACTTTGCCCCCATTTACGCTACTTCGTATCTCTTACCGTTTCCAAAATCCCTGTAGTGAGAAACGAATTTGTAACAGACTATATATAGGGTGTTCCAATTTAATGTCGGCTTCTAGTATAATCGGAAGTGCGTGTTCTAAACATTTTAGCTGTGTTGGCCCTACTGCCTTTGCTAGGTTGCCAAATTTTCAATTTATCGGGTCAGTACTTTCCTAGATATCGATAGTGGCGATTCCTGGTGGGACACCCTGTATAAATGTTTTTACTAAATATTGGTCAAAAATATAACAAGAATTATGGCATTATGCAAAACAAACTTTTTAATAATGAAAAAAAATCAGATTAGTTAATAACAAATTGGATATTTAATATTGACAGTATTAGTATTAGTTTTAAAAATATGGTATTTTTAGTAATTCATCATCGTGATTTACTTCTATAATAAGATTTAATTTAATAGATAAAAAATTAAATACATAAAAAAAATAAAAAGATCCCACTCTAGGACCCGTCTCATAAATTTGCATATTGAAGGATTATTTTCTGAAGAGCAAAAAAACGCCTCTTTTTCAAAAAGCACTTATTTGGTTTAAAAATAAAAAAAAATCAAAAAATAAAAATATATTATTTTCAAACTTCTTTTATAAAACTACATCTCAAAAGAAAAATGAAAAAAAAAAAAATAAAAATTATATCTTGTTTTTGCCAAGTTACAGGTAGGTATTTAAAATTTTTTTCCCCAAAATATTCAAATGCTCATAACTTCTTGAGGGGTTGAAATGAAAATTTAAAAAAAATCATGAAAGCTACCCTAAATGGGTACTAAATAATACCAAAAAAAATCAGGAAAATTAAAAATGGTTGGGTCATGCCCTAAGTGATTTGGCATGGAATGCCCCATATTTATATTTGTATAGTGCTTCCTCTCTCAAAACCGTATTATTCCTGATTAAGTATTCGAGTCCTTTTTTTTAATTAAAAAGAAACATTTCCAGTCTCAAATTTTATTGATTATGGAATAACACCAATGCACGACAACGAGCAAAGGTATTCTATAAAATTTCACATTTCACAATAATTCGCGTGTGGCAGTAGTGAGCAGTGTAGAAAATAATTACAGAGGGATAAAATTAAAACAATTTATTTCCTTAAAAATAATTAATAACAGCACTGACTGTAAAGGGCGGGACATAAAAAAAAGAACGAATACAGCCTCGATTGAAAAAACCCAACCAAGGTTTTATTATTAATTTCATTCTAACACTGTACAATACGCGTTTGTGTCACTTTCCTAGACCAACAGCAAAATTAAAACTCTTTACAAATAGGTGCCAATCGGTAACCGCATAGATGTGTAAGCCCAAAGTCTCTCGCCGGAAATAAATCAATTGGTCACATATTCGTACAGAGCCCTGCTAAATGTGAAATAAATGTCCTAAAGATATCCTGAATGTATAACGTAGGTTACATGATGTTGACGTAACGAGTTGTGGAAATGATGGTAAAGTTGTGAATTGATGGCGATGACCGTTTTAGAAGGCGAATAGCAGCAAGAAGGCCATCATAAGACAGAACAGTCCCATGGCCTCAGACAGGGCGAAACCCAAGATAGCGTACGAGAAGAGTTGCTGTTTTAGGCTTGGATTTCTGGCGTAGCCAATGATGAGGGAACCGAATACTGTTCCAATACCAGCTCCTATAAAGCAAAACACAGGTCACACCGATTTAAAAAAATTATGTCGTATATTGCACAAAACTAATAATAAATGTACACATACCGCAACCAGCATTCCTGTTAGTATGACAAGAACAATTAACGTAAAACAAATAAAACAAATTAACACATGCTACAAAATAAAATTTATTTCTTAATTCTACAATGCAAACAACATGAGGAAAGCTATCATGAGGCAGAATAAGCCCATTGCTTCTGACAGAGCAAAGCCTAGGATGGCGTACGAGAAAAGCTGTTGTTTCAATGAGGGATTTCTTGAATAGCCGATTATAAGGGAGCCAAAGACGGCTCCAATACCAATACCTAAAATTTTCAGTGGCGGTTAGTACAAGCGGGACAAGCTATGAGTGACCGTGGATATCTTGGAAATAGAACATGTGGAACACTACTTTAAATCTGCTCTAGAATAGCTGTGCACCTACTACAATATGACCAATAAAGGCTTAGGATTTTTTTTTTTGGAACTCATGATTCAAATTAGTTTTTTTTATAGCGATATTATCAGTGTACTTATTCAATCAATTACAATAATTCATGGCCTACTGCGATTTTGGGAATAGTTTTAGGGATTTTTTTTAAATTAAACATTAGGCTACTTAGTTTTAATCAAACTCATTAAAACCCCAGTACCTTAAAATTCATACATTTATCATGCAGTTTTTTTATCCAGATTGAAGTTTTAAAATTTGTTAAGTTTGTTTAAAAATCTAGGAGACTAGATATGTCTGAAAATGAAAAATTAACCAGTTACTGTTACTTCTATTATAACTGACAAAGAATAGTCTACTTATCAACTTTCCTTTTTCTTATGGGGGCTATATTGAATTTTAAGCTCAGCATTTTTTGGGCTTTTCAATAAAGAATATATACAAATAAAATCAATAAAAGAAAAAATTTCAAAAACAACCTCAAAAACCAATATTTTAATATTTTTAATAAATCTGGCGCACTGCATAATTTCTCGAAACTATTATAGAATAGTCTCAAATTTTTGTAAAAGCTTATCATTAATGTCATGGCGCTGAGTAAAAAAATGAGAGTAATGGCCACGTGTTTAAGAAAAAAAGCCCCATTAGTAGTCTATGAATCTCCATCGTGATAATATTTGCATTTGTTTCAATCTGCTTGTCATTTTGAAGTTATTTAACTGTTAACAGTTAAAGTGACTCATATTAAAATCGGTAAAGCATGTAGCTTTTCAAAACTTCCAAACATTCTCAAATTTGTTATAAATTTATAAAAATACATTTCATTTGGTGGTTGTCTTTTAGGATGATTTCCAATATAACTGTTTAATGCCGCAGTTGCTTTTCTAAAATTTTCAATAAAGCACTCCAACATATCACATTTTTCTGCATTGGATAACGCAAAGGGTAATTTTTTCACTCAACGCCATGACATTAATGATAAGCTTTTACAAGAATTTGAGACTATTCTATAATAGTTTTTAAAAATTATACGATGTTGCCAGATTTACTAAAAATATTAAAATGATTTTTGAGGTTGCTTTTGAAATTTTTTCTTATAATATATTAATGAAAAGACAAAAAAATGCTGTATTTGCTGAGTTCAAAATTCAATATAGCGCCCATAAGAAAAAAGAAAGTTGATGATTGGTTTCTCGCAACCAAAACGTCGAAATGAAATTCTAAATATACAGCGATATTCCTCGAAAAAACTTGCTGTGAAAGTGTTTTCAGATTTTAAATTCATCTAAATAAAAAAATTACAGACGATTTTCGAAAATGCCACATTTACTCTTTTTCAAAATAATTTTTTTTTTAAATTTTGAGCTAGGTTGTGTGGATCGTCTGCCGTGTTTAGAAAAACTGCTTACAGAACACACCTGCTCAGGCATAAAAAGTTTCGGTATATTCCACAAAGGGTAGAGAAGGAGTAGAAGGTTCGGCTAGTTTTGGGTGTTTTTTTTTTTTAAAGGAACCTTATTGTTAATTCATAATAAATATTGTTTATCAACTGATTGCGCATTTTAATGAAATACTTGGAGAATATTCCTACATATAGTTATTATAATATTTCGTTTGTTCATAATTTTCAGGATGAGAAAAAGAATAAAACATATGGTGCGTTTTGAAGGGGAAAAAGAATATCGTACGACGAGACTCGAACCAGCGATGTCGTGTCGGACTCCAATGTTACGGACTGAACCACGTGCCTAGTTGAAAAATGGATGCATGTAATGGATTTAGCTGGTAGGTAAAACTTCAAAATCGATTATCTCGGTAATTTATGAATGTTGAAACATGCACGAAAGTTAACTGGCTGTTTTTGGGTCAGTATGGAGCATGCACTGGATCATTATAATTATTTCAATAAATAAGTACATCTAGAAGGCCATTTTATATTAAAAACAATTCATTCAAATCAAATGTTTAGAGCAGCGATCGGCAAGTGGCGGACCGAGGTCCAGGTCCGGACAGCGGAAGGTAAAATACTAAGACCGCCAAAAATTTTTTGAAAGTATAAATTACTCAAATAAATTATTTAAAAATATTTTTTTACGTTTGAGTGCCGCCACGCTCATCATATTTTACAATTGTGTGACTGATTTGAGTTCTTAATGTTTAGTAAGTAGAATAAATTTGAGTGCAAATTAAAATAAAAAATTAGTAAGAAATATGAATTTTTTTCTGGACCTTGTTAAAAATTTTCAAAAGTGTCCGGACCCCATCTAAAATTACTTGCCGACCCCTGGTTTAGAGGTACCTAGTTCTTAATGGGGCATATTGTATGTGCAGTTTATAATCTCAAAATATCTTATTTTTAATAAGTATTTTGCCATACATTTTTTTTCCAAATTAATAAACAAAAAATTAAACAACTTATGGATTAACAAACATAAAAACATTCTTGTTTCAACCTTTCCTAATAAGTTTTACACATTCAAATTCTATTTTCAATTCAAATTTTTTTACCTTGAATTAATTGTTGTGTAATTCATAAAATTGATAACAATAAATTCACGAAGGAATTGTAGTAGTACCGACTCTAAATTTTCAACAATTTTTTTTAGCAGATTGTGGTTTTTAGTACCAAAGGGGTGTTATTCGAACTTGTACACACCATTATTTTTTAGAAGAGGAGATTCATTTCATAACATTTTTTGCTTATAGTTTCAAGACACTCTATATAGGTTTACATACTATTAATTCTCATTACTTTCACACTAATTTTTAATGTAAATTAATATAAAAAAGAATATAATTGCAAATCACTGACAATATACCTACAACTCATTTTAAATGCAAGCGTGGAAGAATAGTGCGGGGCAGAAGACTGTATATTATTATTCAACAAACACCGCACCCAGAAACAAATTTAAAAGATAAGCAGGTACTGAAAATAAATTTTAACAAACAGGAATCAGACATTTTTTATCATCACACCACTCTGAACTATGGTTAGTCATAAATTAAAAATTAGTAACCCACACCAAAACAAGTATCGTCAAAGTATCTGCAATAATCATATCAGACATCCAAGGAAGTTCCGTCTTCATCTTGCTCAGTTGGCAACATTCTAGTCATCATGTACAATTAATGCAGACGTTATAAGAAAAAACATGCTTATAAAAATACAACAGACCTGATCCAGCTACTCCTACTGTGGCAGCTCCAGCGCCAATGAATTTGGCAGCAGAGTCAATATCTCTGGATACTGGGGAAGTCTGGAAACTACGTATGGCAGGGAGAAGAGCTGGCTGTCTGTGTTGCTGTTGCACATTCTGTACAAGCGTCTGACTCTGGGCTACTGCACTGCTCAATGGCCTTAAGTATTGTTTGGAATTTGCGACAAGCTGCAGAGAAAAATAGATTTTAAGAGGTATAGAAATATTTCCCTGAAATTGTAACCTTATTTTTTATTGTCAGACATCCAAGGAAGTTAAAAAATCATCAATAATCATGAAATATTTAATGCTGTCATCATATTTGAAAACAAAAATGAAGAAAATAGGGTTGTATTAGGTTAGGCCACATAATGGACTTAACCTGTGAAGAACAATTCACTCAAAGGCAGTATCGCTAGTTTTTAAATTTTAGAAAAAGCTCTAGTGACTTTATGGTTTAAATATTTAATACCTAATACTTACAATAAAATAATAAGGCTATTATGTGTTAGAGGTAATGATGTAATTTATTACATAAATGCTACTTGTACAAAATACTGATTAATTACAGATATTTCCATTTATTTAAATAAATTCATTCTAATTATGAAAATGAGAGTATACCAGGTTAACGTATACCATTTATATAACACCAACATAAAAAGCATTAATAAAGGTGTAGGTTGTACAAAAAATTCATGAACTTCGAAGGTGAGCATGCAGAGGTTATGTAATGTAATCTCAATCTTTCATGTAAAACAGCTAAATCATTATTTCTACTAAAATGATCAATATACATAAATGAATAGAATGATTTAAGTATGTTATACAACATTACATGACTATATACTCCATTCAAAAGTTATGTAATGAAAACAGAAATGGAATCAAGATTATTGTTACATGAAAGTCGAGTCAATTGGACTTATTGGTTTAAAATTCAAAGAGAATTTTTAAAAAATAAATACTTACGGCGCTTCTGGCAGCAGGGGCAATCAATCTGACACAGGCAAACATCTTTATTTTGGTTTTATTTAAGTTTGGTGCAACTTAAGAGCCTACAAAAAGACAAGTGGAAATTAGTAAAGGGCACACTTCCCAGGGGTTACTGTCAAAGTCATCAGTGAACGAACAGTAGTAATGTTAATACTAACGGGTTACGTAACGACAAGTTGCCGAAAAATAACATAAAACTAATTTACACTGCAATCAACAATGGATATGAACATTATCTTTTTAATTCAATTCGTATTTTCAATTAACCGGTATTACTGAAACTGTAACAAAGAATTACTTGACAACTCAGCTACATTAATAATGGCTGGACAAAAAGTCGGTATCTAGATCAAAGCAAAGGACTTGCGAATAAAACAGGAAATACATTAAATCTCACATATATTTTAACTGAATCACTAGGATAGAGCTATATATTTCCTTATTTTATACTTTAGTTAGGTCGATGACACAAATTTAATAAAAAAACTACAGATAATTTTTACTCACAAAACTAGCGAACCACCCACTTACCACAGAACAGTGTCGGTAAAAGCAGATGGGCAAGTTAGCTGCTCGAAAAGTATAAAATCTGAGAAAAACGGAGCAGAATACGCATTGCGCTTGAGCAATAAGAAAATTTTCAGTGCTATCGCGTTTAGTACGCTCCGGGTATTCCAGCTGCACGTCTAAATATTATCGACTTTCGAATAAGTTTTTTTCTCACTCAGAGGTGTCACCACAGATATAAATTCTCAATCCCGTCTAAAAGATGGTGCACTATCATTATCCTCGAGCTTCGCGAAACCATCTAGGGATTATACAAGGATTTATTTATTATCTTTATATTATAACATGATTTTAATATTTCGACCTGCAAAATAAAGTGAAACACCTAAAACGAAAGAAAATGGTGGTTAGAATTGCTTATAATCAACGCATATCACTTCGGATAGGTGGCGCTTCTGATCATAGTTTGGCACCATTATAATACACATTTCAACCACTAGATGGGTATTTTTACAAATATAAATAATTTATATTACAATTATTGTAACTATGTTATTATGGATTGTTTATGAAGACAAAAATAACTTAGAAAATTTAAAATTTAACGTAAATAAAAAATATTTCTAGAAGGTATTACTTGACCATACTTATAATAAAGAAGTAAATACATAAGTAAAGTATACAGGTGCATAATGTATCCATAATAGATCCTTACAACATCCGTATAGCAGCTCTGCATCATATAAAAATTGAAAAAATCGCGGATGTTTCTAAAAATTCGAGTAAAGCTCCCCAAATGAAGACATTGCCCACTAAACACGAAACGTAAATGAAACGTTACAAATGAGATGTTTTACTAAACATTTGACACATTAACTAGAAACGTTTCTGTTTCATTACAGAAATGTAGCACTTGAAAACTTATTTAGTGAAACATAGCCGAAACGTTACATTTGAAGAGAGTTTGAAACATTACTCGAAACATTCCCTTTCGATCTCGGAAACATAACAGACGAACAACCCTTTGCTATTTTTGCTTATCTTATGGAACATTCGGCATTAGTTAAATTTTGCTCTCAATCCCCAATCCCTCTCAAGCGTTAGTTCATTTGCCTTTGTTATACAGATATAATTAAAAAAAAAAATGTGGTAGCATATTTATAACACAAGTCTAGAAAAAATGTATGTTCGTGACTTGCGTAGACTGCGCGTAACACCCCGAGTTTATTTGTTTCCCGTGTGTCGTTTCAATTCGTATTATGTTAGGTTAGGTTTGCGGTTTGCCAGTTTGCTTGGTTTCGTTGTTCTTCATCTTTACTTTGACGCTATTTTATGCGATAATTTGTAGTGTGTGCAGTTGTGGTTATTGTAAGGTGCATATAAAATAATGAATATTGATGCAAAATGTTTAAAACGATATGTGTAAAGAGATTTCCAATTTTGCGTCACATCTACCTAAATATAGTTATACCCACTACCTATTACAGACAAGAGGACAAGGGACAAGCATTAAGAAAATGGAACAACAACTATACGTTTCGATATAATTTGAAGAGCAACTACTTAGTCAGTGAGAACTATTTGAAATATGGATGAATCAAGTGAAATAGACGTCATTTATATTTTGTACAAATGTTTATATTTGTTTATGTGTATAGGCATGCTTAAATAAAAGAGTTTAGGTATACCTACAGATATTTACTTTGTCAAGATATCATTTTGTATCCTTATTTCTGTTGTATAATTTATTATTATTAAAAGGATAGATGTAATATTGACCATGCGTAGAAGAAATTATAACTTTATATTATTTTTCAGTAATGTTATTTGTTTTTCATGTACCTACCATTTCAAGATTCATAATCATAACTAACTTTTTCTAATTATCAGTTCGTCATTGTTACCATATTCATGATCGTCTCAACATTAGAAAATTTCCATTTCAGAAGCGTATTTGAACAATATAAAATGTGTAGCTTTTTTTAAATGCCTCTGATATTGTTTTGTGATATTTTTATTTGTACGATGAATGGCAAAATTCGTAATCCATATTAGAAACTTTTTTCAGTGGCTTCTCAAAAAGAAAGAAATTCTTAGTAAAAGTTGCCGCATCCCCAAACTAGAAGAGCATATTTATTTTTTTTAATATACAATGTAACTTTTTTTAGTTCGAATTAAGTCATTCACAATACAAATAAAAATATCACAAAGGAGTATTAGAGATATTTAAAAAAATACACTATTTATACTATTTCAAAAACGCTTTTGAAATGAAAATTATCTAAAGTTGAGAGCATTATGAGAACAATATGGTAATAAAATTAGTATGTTACTCAAACATTTCTGAAAATATACTGAAACGTAAAACAAAAATATCGAGGGCATAAATGGAACATAAAAAGAATGTTACTGAAACCAATTTTTTTAAACGTTTCATTGGAAACGTATTTTGGGGAGGACATCTTGGGCTTCTAGAACGTTACCAGAACGTTGCATTGATTTTTTGGAAACGTTTCTGAAACATGTCAGAAACTGAAAAATGTTTAGTGGGTGACGTACAATCGCTCTAAATACGTCCACATTGGTGTCGACACGTCGACAGGCATGTGAACGAGCGTTGTACGCGAACGCGTTACACGAAATCTGTAACCAATATAAAAAAACCGACCTTCACAAATTTCGACCGTCGAGCTGTCACGGCGAGAGGAAGCACGTTGAGCGTTCTCATTCTATCAGATGATGACAACAACCTATGTGAAACCACTGAGGGGGTAAAAAGAGCAGGGCACTACGGCCACTACGATCCCTGCAACCCCATCATGCTGGTCTACGACCCATGAATGATGCTCAGAGGGGCGACTGACATATCTCTTCAACAGGGAGCTAGCGAAATTGAGGTAAATTCAGCACCAGAGAACAAACAATCTACCTACCTAAGACCGCGACAAGGCGATCAACCTGGGACCTTATTGCTACATGAAACCGAAACATTGATAGAACATATAGCTATACATATAGTGCAATTTTGTTATAGGTTTTACATTGACAATTTATTGATGAATAAATTGACACGAAGTTCTTCATGAATTAATTCACGAATTTATTGGTAAACGGTATGGTTGAGACGAGCAGTTCGCCTTCCGACCCAATCACTCCACTGAACTCCAAATCCTTCGCCTTACCGAGCACATCACGGCGGCCTTCAACAGGGGACAGTACACTGGTGCTGTCTTCCTGGACGTCGCAAAGGCCTTCGATACGGTTTGGCATGAAGGCCTACTGATGAAAATGCTCACCAACCAATATCCCATATCCTTTACCAAACTCATAAAATCCTACCTACACCACCGAAAATTCCGCATCCAAATCCAAGATTCCCTTTCCACCACCCGTCCCATGGAGGCCGGTGTCCCCCAGGGCACCGTCCTGTCCCCACAC